AGAGGACATTTTTTTAACTTCCAGGTAGATCATCTAAATATCGAATCACTGTCCCCCAGACATCCACGGTTATATTTTTTATATTTATATTTTTTTAAAACAAAGAGGAGTGTGTATGACGTCATCCGCGCGCCGGACTGGAGTTGTTTCAGGCACTACGCTCTACCCCTTCTATTCATTCAACTAGCTAATCTGAATCGTTCAATTCCATTTGGACAGCAAGATCATCTGTGGTAATAGCACTAGACATCTTCCAGGCATGTGAGTAAAACTAGCAGCAGTTCAGCGGACAGGAAGACTGACGGTCGACGTCATTCACATGCCGCTTCATTTAAAAAAAATATATACTGTAAATATAAAAGATATAACTGGGGATGTCTGGGGGACAGTGATAGCCTTACTTTGATTAGGTAAATAAAATGATTTGCCAATGGAATAAGTATTTTTACTCTTATAATAAAGATAATTAGATAACATGCTCTTAAAATAAGACATTGTAATTATTTTGTCTTATTCTAAATGTAAATTGTCTCGTTCCATTCGCAAAGTGTCTCACTTTCCTCCTCAATTCAAGACAAAATGCACTTATTTGAAGAAAATAGGACTTATGGCTACAAATACGTCTGCAGTTTGTCTGCAGCTTGTTAACTTACACTCATCATAATCCCTTAGTTAGTCAAGAAACTTGTTTAGATTTATATTATTTTGTTAAATGATTTTTGGAATAAATACCTTTTTGCACATAAACTGTGCAAAAAGGCATGGAAGGCAAGGAAATAGAAACAGTGTGTGAATGTGTGTTTATTACCAGTATGATGCAGGGGCTGATGAAAAACCAACATGCCCTCCACCACAGCCAGAAACCGAAGGATTTTTTTCCAAGCATCATCTCAATGTCTTTGATAAACCGGTTCCCACCTGAGACAAACACATCAGAGGAGGTTTCAGGCTCTCCCTCACTTTTTATGAATACCTATACCTGTCTCTAAGTGTTCACACTGGAAAAACGATCTAGAAATAAGTTAAACTTTCTTAAATTAAGCGTATTTACCCTTAATTTGATTAGGTAAATGAAGTAGTTTGCCAACGGAATAAGTATTTTTACTCTTAAAATAAGACAATTAGATAATATGCACTTGAAATAAGACAATGCAATTGTGTTTTCTTAATTTAAATGTAAATTGTGTAGTTCCATTGGCAAAATGTCTCTTTTACCTCCTCAATCCCAGAACAAATGCACTTATTTCAAGAAAAAATACTCTAGATGAATCTAGATTTCGATTTTTTCCAGTGTATATTTACCGTATATGTAGGCGATTCCGATTATCTCTAAGAGAACCAGAATTAGCAGCACCCAGCTGGCCACAAACTGGTCAATGAGCGTCACCCAGTATATTCCAGCCTGCAGAGCAACCGATAGAACACCATGAGGTTTTTAAATCAGGCAATGGCAGAAGAAAGCTGTGGTTAGACAGACTTACTTTTGTGACGCAGGGTAAGCCCAGAAGGTAGAGGACAGAACAAATCGTTATCGTCAGTAAGGCCCGCTTAGATTTAAAGGTTTTGGGGAAAGCATCCAGCAGGCAGGTGGTTAAAACCTCTAGAGACACAAGCATAGGCTTTAGGAAAAACAAAGATCTAACAGGGAAGCAGGCAGGCTCGGACTGGTAATCTGTGATACCGGACATTTGCCCAGTGGGCCGGTCCTAATTTCAGGGCCCTCCTTAAATCATACCGACCCCAACACTTACTCTCCAGCTGAAGCTCCTACCTGCAACAGTAAATAACTCAAGGAGCTCAAGAAGTAATCCAATGTTAACTCCCTAAATGATGCATGCAGTATATATAGCCCTTCCTTGTCATGCACATCCTAGTGACGGTTGGCTTATGGTGTAATTTTCTATTTCTTCAAACTGTAAAATCCTTGTAACAAACTAAATAATAGTAAAACTAAAATGCTTTCTTTAAATCAAACTACGATGTTCGTCGTATATTTATGTTCGAATATTTTGCAAAAATATGTTGCGGTGCATGATGGGGTTTTGAATCTAAAGGCTAATGTTTCCCATCTTACCTGCATTGTTGCCAGGTTGGGATGTTTCCCAATCTGGCAGTTTAGGATGGCCGTCTCTGGGTAAAAAATGCTTTTCTTTAGATTAATGGACTAAGACATCGGCGTCGCCAGACCCCATTTACTGGGGCACGTGCCCCAGTATAAATGAGCTGTGCCCCAGTATAAATCTCATGAATATTTGCAACAGTAATAACATTTTTAATGCATCAATTAAAATAATTCCAACGGGAGGAG